TTTAGACTTTAAGGCTATTTCTGAATAACCTGAAAGTATCAGCAAAACTATGAACAAATGATCCCTGCTCTTTTATCCATGAGGACTTTCAGACGTATTTTGAAGTCTATCTAACTTAGTTATTTCTGATTGTCCTTCATATTCTGGTGTCCAAGCATGAAACACTGAAACTCATGTTGTCTAAATGGCTCATCATATTTGAAAATCTCATTTGGACCCCAAAACACTTGAGTTTTCAAAAACTTCGACAATCTAATCTAGCAGATTTATGCCTTAATTTCCCCAGAGAAAAAATGAAAATATTATGTATATACTAATACAGAAATATTTTCCAGATAGAGCTTCTGTTAAAATTTCATGCAGAATTTTTACATTTATATTTGACTATATACATTTCTAACAAGGCCAAGAACAATTGTAGTGGCTAAAAACTGGTTTTTAGTATTAGTAGCCATACATGACAGCATCATCTGCTTAAAATCAACCAAATGGCTGCTTTTTTTAAAGAATAAAATTAGCCCTGAAGTTTGTTAAGAGTAAAGTTTAGAAACAAATAACAGAGCTGTCAGAAAAGCTGAGAGTCTAATTAAGTTACTGCAAATTGAAATCACCCAAAGCTGTCTAATGACAGCAGTGAAAGAAAGCAGATAATTGCTATTTACAATTCCACAATGAAGGACAGCTATTTAGCAGGCAAAGCTAAAACTCCTCCATAAAAATATAGTTTTGTAAAAAGACAGCTCCCGGAACAATTGTATTTTGATATAAGATTATAAGACACTTTTTTTTCCCCCCCTTTACTTACTTTGTAAGTAAAGACTGTAAGTAAATTTCTGCCGGGCAGAAATTAATTTATGAAGAATTTTTCTTCATACAAAGTTGCATTAGTTTTATCCTCCTGTTCCAAGCTGACCTTTTTTTACTACTGAAGACTTAAAATCAGGGGGAACTACATACTACCAAGCTTAACTATTTGAATTTGATTTTTTTTAAATATTTGAATTTCTTAAAAAAAAAAAAAAAGCAGTCTCCAAATATAGAACTAAATGTGTTGTTTCTACAGTATGATGAAATTTAATGATAAATTTGTCATCTGGACAAGAAATGCACGATCCCAAACAAATTTTTCTCTCTCTTCTCCCTCTTCTAAAACAGAATTTCAACACAAGTGATAGAAAAGAGTTTAAAAAAATAACTTTATATGATGAAAAAATGTAAATATTTTCCTTGTTGCATTTGGAAAAGGCTGGGGTTTTTTTTCTGGTGCTGTATATGGGGTAGAACAAACATAATTTTACCTAAGATGTTGCATTTTCATTTTACATTTCTATAAACAAATGTTATCACATTGGCAGATTTCTTCAGCCAAAACAATCTCTACAAATAGTAATTTTCTGGTAAAAGGAATTAAAATGACACAATGGAGGAAGAGCAATCAGAAAGGACCAGACAAGGTGAATTATTAATACTCTTTGAAAGTCAAGAGAACTCAAGAGACTTCCTTCACCTTTAAACATTAGAAGTATCTTCCAATAGAGTATTTCAACTCTCAAAGCTAATTTAGCACAAGGCTTGCAAAATGCTGCATCTATTTTCACCTACATGAAGCAAAGGCAGATTCTAATACTTTGATTCTTATAAGTACCCTTAACCGTACTGCCAGTAATCTCCTTAGTTGAGGATTCTTATCAGTATGTGCAAGATTATCAGCAATGAATTCAATTTTATGATTATAGCACAATTATGAAGAAGATCGTGTTGGGGGAAATGGCAGTGCTTCCTTCAAAATGAGGAAAATAATTTGCAACTAAATGTGTTCCATACAGTATTAAAAATATTGTTTCTAGTAACATCTAGAATTTAATTTAAAATATTTATTATATAAATGTAGTAGCACTTGCATCCTAAGACTTTTCTTCTCATGGTACACATATATTTATCTCTCATATTTCAGTGCAATTTCTAGCTACATAGGAGGGAGAAAATACAGGAAAATAGAATAAAAAGAGTTTAGGCATACAAGATGAGAATGGAAATCCCAGGCCCTGCTTTTCCCATAAAATGCAGTTAGTTTTACCAGTATGCCTTTAGCTTTAAAAGATAATCATTTGAGCTCCATAATATCCAAAGGCTTAATGTCAACGCTGCGACACACAGTGCTCACTTCTCTCAGGTGGAAGTTACAGTACCTGATAGCCAGCAGCTCTCCATTTCAAGCATCTTATTCTCCACTGATTGTGTGAAAGGTCACTTGCTCCTCTTTGAAGGAGTTAATCTGGATTACCTATTTTGCTCTTGACTTATTGGTAGCTCACTGGGAAATAATTTCCCCCAGTGCTGACTTTCAATTACAACGATCATCACAGAGAAGTTAGACTCTAGTACAGCTGACTCTGTTAAATCTGTTGTTTCAATATTTCTGTACAGTACAAAATCTGAAATTAGTAATACACCAAAGGCTGTACTACAACTCAACATGCACTCTGAAATCTACATCTTCTTTCTTGTGGTATCTGTTTTTCCATGTATTACAAACATTTTTTTCTTTGCTCTACGATTTGCACTCTTATAGAAACAGATATGTTTTCAGTACAGTAAGAGAATTTCAACAGCTCTGTAATAATGATATTTCCAAGAACGTGTCATACTCATTTTCCCCTTGTTCTTAAATCTCTTCTCAGATGAGGAAAAATTGTGTTGTCGAACATTCAATTTCACCATTTTCTAGCATAAGAGTATAGTAGATATCTTTTCCACCAGAAGTCCAAAACTATCTCAAAATATTTGCCAAGTGCTAGAAAATCAGAATAACACCCCTTGAGACTTGCAGGCTCTTTGCGCCCTTCTGCTACCTACCCAAGAAAAGAAAGAAGTGACTAGGAGTTTGCTCTGTTCAGAAATTATTTTGAGTACAATAGACAGAAATGCCTGTTATATTACTCAGACACATTATATATATATATATATATATTTATGTATATAAATAAGTCTGAGCCTTCAGGGCAGGACTGGGAAATTTTTTCAATGAAAGGTGGCCAACGTGCCCTTTTCAGCCATTCCACCTCTTGCAGGAAGAGGATTTCAATGCACTGTACTGATCCTGAAAGCTCAATCAAACTAGATCCAGTCATGGATTAGAGCCAGGAGCGAGAATGCATCGTCATCCTTAGGGCACAGAAGAGATCCAGTTGGATAACAAGGACCTACCTCCTCTTGCTTTTCTCTACATTTCAAGGGATGTATATAGGCATCTTTCCCACTAGTGCTGTGTGTTTAAGACTACCTTTTAAAACCTGAGTTGTAGTGTCATTCAGCACATGGAAATAAATCGTTAAGAGGCAACAGGATCTAAGTAGCTAATATTTTGTAGATTACGAAAAAATATCAACACTTGGGACAACTGAATGCAGGTGTCAGTAGCAGAGAAGCACTGGGCACTGCTGCAAGACAGCACACAGGGGCAATGCTTCATCACCTGTTGTGCCTACCGATGAGCAAGGTCAAGTCTCCATAAGCATGCAGTGATAATAGTCAGAGGACACAACCAGAGCTCATATGACACACAAGGATATATCTGGGTGTAACAGATATTATCACCAGCGTGGTGAGGGCTAGCCTGAGGCTACCTGCCCCAAAAGCAGAGTACTGCATCAGTGCAGTTTCAAATCTAGGAGGATGTTCCGTTTCAGAATGGCTCATATTTCAGCAGAGCTAATCCACTTGAGCCCTAGTTTTCTCAAGCGCCGAACACCTGCAGTTTCCTCTGATTTCAATTGCTGTAGAGGGTACTTGGCGCTTCCGAAAACCAAGCATTATGCACGAGCGTACAGGCTCTGAAGAAGCAGATGCTCCATGAAGCCAAAAAAAAATCCAAATTACACGAGCTCACATTACTGGGAGTTTCCTCCAGAACAGAGTTAGATTTGTGCAGCTTTAGGGAAAGATGTTTAAATACCTCCAGTAAGACAAAGCAAAAACAGAGATAAGAAAATAATAACGCTTCCTTCATTATTTCAAGTCTAGAAATTTTTCAGTCCTTCAAACAGGAAAAGTGGTTTTTACTCTCCCCCTGCTATCTGGCAGGCATAGAAATGAACTGCAAGGCATCAGTATAAAAGATAATTTTACATTTGGATGAGATAATTTCACAGAAGAGGTAGATTTCTGAAACTGTGCCCTAGAAAATATTATTGTCCTCTTTGTGAAAAAGAAAACAGAGAAGGAAATTGCATTGTTGTCAACAAAGAAAGCAAGGTAGGGTGATTCTACAGTCACATTGCTTTCGTGCTTTCACAGAAAAAGATGGATTTAAAACATATTTGCATAAAATATATTGAAATACAGATGAAATACAAGCACAATAAGGTGAAAGCAATACCAATAGCCACCAGGTTAATCTCCATTAACATGATTTAGTTTGTGCACTCAGAGTCAAGAACTGGGTCTCTGTGAGCGTGAGGTTGAACTGGAGGGGCTTAAGGTGCCCTCTACAGTGGGAACCAAATCCAAGAGGTTTTCAATTTATCTGGAACATTTTCCATGCTTTAAGGATAGTGGTAAACCATGGCTTTTATTACATATTGACAGAATAGCTATCCAGTATTGAATATAAATTGGTTTGAAAGGTGCTCTGAGACAAAAACACAAATGAAAGGATTGTTAATGGAATTATTAATTTATGAAGCTCTCACTTCCACTATTGTAGTAAGTGAAAGGAGAATTGAAGGCAAGTGAGGCGAACACACCTTTCACCAACTTCTAAACATAGCAAACATTTTGCACTGAGTGGGGCAAAATCTTTCCCTCAACAGAATTGCTAAATCAAACCTGGCTCGTAAGAGGAAAATAAAGACAGGTCTAAATTATTCCGTTTTAGAGGACTCATACGTCCTTACTAGGCATGTCCTTGGCATGTCCTTGGCATTTGAGGGAGACAATTTTATTAAAGGGCAGTCACTATAAAAAGATGCAAATGTACCAAAACCAAAACTAACTCTTACATGATAAATTCTGTCAGGTTACACCATTTTCGAGAGTCTACTTTCTTCATCATCTCCTCAAAGGATTTTCCACAAGCAGGCAACTTTTCTAACATGAGGGATTCATTGCAGAGATTAGACTGTTGACGTGCACCTAGGTAAAAAAAAAAAAAAAAAGAACACGTTAAATCCCACACACTGAAAGAGAAGGAGCATGAATGCATCTTTCACAAACTCATTCACATAATTTTACCTGCCACTTGAATTGCTGTAAATCTAATATTTAACTTTTTAGAGGAGTTTATATGTAAAACTAATGTTTATATAAAACAGCTCAGTATAAAATACTACATCTTACCAGATCACCTTTTAGAGAAATCTACCTAGTCATTTTTCTAATCTTACTCAATTTCTAACCTTACTACTTTTCTTTACTAAATGTGCACCATTACTTAAAAGCTAACTGGAAATAGCAGTCATAGGCTTCCCAGCCTTTACTATAGAAAGTACAGCTCAAGCAGACATGTCCCACTGGACTATCTGTATCACCATAAATATACTTTTCTGTCAGAAAGATTTATACAACTTATTAACTAAAAATTTGAAAACATATGGTCAGAATAGAGACTTCTGCTTAGTATATCCTTGAATGGAATTATTTGCCATTATCTGATCTTAATATTACAAACACAGCCATAGGAAAGGAATTAACCTTGCCATGAGCAAGCCTGTACCTTTTGCAGTATGTAATGGCAATGGTACAACAATATTTAGAATCTAAGTCAAATGTCTATATCCAGCCCACATCTGAACTGGAATAAAATTAAAAATCTGTCAAAATTTTATTCTGAGTGAGGTATTTGGTTTTGCTAAGGCTGAAACATTATCTTTTGATTAGGTAAACCGATTTGGAATAAGTCTTCCTTGACCTTTTTCATTTCCATTATTTTGACTCTACTTCTACATGCAAAATGTATACATTCTGGATAATACTAAAATTTTATTACAGATGTAGTTATTAACATATTTAATATAATGTCTAAATTAAATTATTACAATAGTTAAAATATTAACATTTCTTCTTTTTAATCTAAAGGAGATCTGAGGGGAAAAAAAATCCATCCCCACAAACCTAGAGTCCTAACAAATCTGTATACCAAACAATTCCCTGTAGAAATTCTGTTACTTTTAAGAGATATGCGAGGAAAACCAGACAAATTTGTCCATGTCAAAGTCTGTGGAGAACCAAGTCTTGTAACAATTTTTGAACCAACATTTTTTATCTATCTGCATTACAGAAAGGAGATATTTCTTTTGCTTATATCAGTTGCATTTTGAGTAGGATCCTGTCTGCTCAAAAGAGCTGGTGACTTTGTTGCTACCTGATCTTCTTCGTCTATTGTTCCAGAGAAGCTAAAATCCTGCCTTCCTCTCAGGCAGGGAGGAGCTGCTCTATGCCTGTCCTTTTCCAAACTCTTTCTCCAGCATCTAAAAGTTACCTCATTCACAGCTGCTATATAAATAACAAGTGCTAACAATCTGTGGCTGTCATTCAGGAAATTTTACTGCAAAATTAAGGTTCCTCCCAACTTTTCCTCCCTTCCTATGTTCTAATTCCATGTTGTGTTAGAAAAAAAAAAAAAAAAAAAATGAGTGAAGTGTGTCTTCATTTGATGAGAATCCAGATAGAGCCCTCGATCTCAACAGGGTTCGGCTCCTTATTACTTAGTCCAATAAACCCAGGCAAGATGATTGGTTTCAGACTTCTTAGCATGATGCAGTTGTTGATTACAAACTGGAATATCTCCACTCAAAATGAGATGTGTGATTGTAAAACAGCACCAGGTGCACATTACAGTGCTTAATCCATGAAGGAGACTCTTCAGAGCTCTTTCAGAGCTCGAGCAGGAGTGTCTTGCCAATTTAATTCAGGCTATAGCAGCTGATTGTTTTAGCTGGAGAGATCACCGACTCAGTAATGTCATCTGCCAACTAAGAGCATCTGATCAACAAAATACTTTGCTTTCAAACACTTTCAAACAACAGCTGGACTGCAACTGGACAGTCTTATTTCATATCCACAACTCTAAGTCTATTATTCCATACTGGCTACAAATCTCTTCAGGCCTACAGCAGATTAACTGGGACCATCTAAATAACCCATTACTTCTAACCCTGCCTATTTTACCATATCTCAATGTCGGTGCCCATGGCTGATACTAAGACTTCAGCAACATCAGAAAAATTCAGAACTACAATTTATCACCAGTAATAGAAATGGTAAAAACTAAAGTTGGGGAAATGTAATTTTGTCCTTTGGAAGTTAACATGATAGTTAAAAAAAATGAATATGAAAGTGTTCCCACAAATTTATCTAGCAGTCATAATTTATACCTTTCAATAGCAGATGGGCAAATGAACATTAAAATTGAGCAGAATTAATAGATGTATGCCAAATATTATAGAAGCATGTCCTGTAACTTGAATTCTGCAGGGATGCTTTTAAAAAATTTAAGCAATGCTGGCTGCCCTGGCTGAGTAGTCTAAATAACAAATTATGACTTGATTTATAACCCTATAAATTCAATAGAATACAAGCTTGTTCTCATTACAGAATGTGCACCAACTATTGACTCAGCAGGGTGTTTAAACGGATTTTCCATGGCCTTGGTATTTTTGGTTGCATTTCTTCAGAACTTTAATATTTTTGAGGGCTGGAAAAAAAAGTTCTGAAAGATTAAAAGCATGACTAGTATGATAAAGATTTGCCAATGTGATGACATAAGAATTTCTAAAATGCTAGACAACATTTATGAAGAATTCTTCAAATTTATGAATTCATTTTGAATAATTTACAAATTTATGAATAATTCTGCAAATTTTCCAACACTATTGAGACTTCTCTTTACAAACACTCTCTTAACCACTTTCTGTTCAAATAACTAGTGGATAGACCAATTGTAAAATATGCATGAAGTGTGACCATTTGAAATGAGATAGAATGGAAGTGCTTTTTAAGTAGCTATCATGAACAAAACAGTATGTTTTGGAACCAATATTCCAATGTATGTTGGAACTTTAGAGGTCAGGCTTACCTGTTAATCCAAGTGTCATTAGACCATTAACTAGGGGGAAAAAAGAGATAAGAGATTGGTTAGATATCTTCACTTTATTCCATAATGATTAAAGTTAGTGCAGATACAAGCAAACTTGAACAAACCTCATGTTTCAACAAAACACTTTGTTTGAATATTAGTTTCATTTTTAGTAGAATGTGGTTTTTGAATTGAAAAAAAAGAGCATTCAGAGAAATGTTTCTTTTAAAACTGCTTTTTATCTATCTTTTAAGCAGATGAGTCATGTAGACTTTCATGGGTGTGTCCACATCACTGTTTTTTTTCCTGTAGTTTCCAAAGTTAAGGATTAGAAATAAGGGAAGTTTTACCCTAGTTCAAGAAGTAAACAAATTCACATGAAATGTAGGTCGATTACACATTCTAAAGTGCAAAACAAATCCTTTTCTTATTGAAATTGAGCAAGCACAAAATCAAAAATAAATAATGTATACTCTATTCATTTGGAAATGAATACAGTGTGTTTTATGTCCTCCATCTTTCCTTAGTGAATTCATAGATTTTGAATACCATAAACTCAAAACCCTTAAATGTCTGATATGGAAGTTATACCAGTCTCCTAATGGAAACATGGAATATGCCAACAGAAGGAGTCTTCTAATTAGCAGTTTGTAGTCCCTCCAGATGGAGGAAATTAGCAGCAGCCTCCTGTCCAAGTGGAGCTGCAACCACACTTAGCATTTTGCAAACACAGCTAAGAAGGATGTGACTTCAATTATTTTTTGATCTCCTATTGAAAAAAAAAATGCTGGCAAATCTTTGCAATGCTAACATTGTATCAGAAATAAGGAATTTCACACAGATGGGTACCTCCTGCTCCTTGTTTATACCCTATGTGTCACTCCAAGAAAATAAGCCAAAATATATGGAATAAAATATCAGCCTCAATTACACTGATCTAAGTCCTGCCTTCAGTGAAATATGCCAAACTACTGATTGAGTTAAGTGCAATCTGTTGTGTACATACATCTGTGAAGAATTTAGATCCCCCTAAGAATATATTTTCCTTCCAGTCAAGCACTAATCTCTGTTATTTGTAATGAACCTGAATAATATACTGAAATTACGAAGAGCAGGAACAGGTGTATGAGAATATTTTATTGCATTCAAACAAAAGCTAAAATTCCATTATACACTCTGATACTCTTGTAAATAAAGCAACTCTTTTTCTTCAAAATTATTAGCTATTATACAAATAAATACACTTGAGTCTCTGGATAGAATTTTTTTTTTAATCTGCACTTGAAAATCGGCTTCATTAATTCCATAAAACTGAAGGTGGGATTAAAAGTACACATTCAATGAAGAAGTTAAAACCACGTATTCCAAGAAAAGTTTGAGTGCCCAACCACAGATGCTTCATTGATGACTGCAGAGTGCATCTGGAATTCTTATTCTATGGGTTCCCGCCACTGATCTCTAAATACTTTGTAAATATTTCTGTCCTATTCCTCACAAGACCACTGAGAGGTCAAAAAAAAAAAAAAAAAAAATGTCAGAGAAAGAGATGAAGTTACTCCTCCATGATCAGGGAGCCATGATCAGCCAATACAGAATAAACAACTCTTGATTCTCAGATCGGTGTTCTTATCGCAAATTCTTCTAGGCAAAGGAAAACATGTTCTTTGCATTTTCTGCTCTGATCAAAACAGAATAACACAGGATGTTTCTTACCTATCTGCAACCAAAAGAGTGCAAATATATTCAGATAAGGGTAAGATAATCATACAGGCCATCCATATCACACTCACCCCTCACAGTGGTGTCAGATATTCAACTCAAAACGATTGTTAACAACAAACCATTTCTGGTCATAGTAGTTTACACAAAAAGCAGGACTTTTTGGTCATCTCTTTTAAAAAGGGGCAAGTCTGGTGTATTTCCAGTCCATTGAAATGTTTACAGCATCACATCTCATTAGAAGAAGCATATGAGTGTGAAGCAAAGAGCAGTCACAGCTGCTAGAAGATGCTGTCCCGATTCAATAATAAGCAATTTCCAAGCTACATTTCCCTGCATTTGTATCTGAACCAATATTTGAGGGTAAAGAAGAGGCTCAATTTAACTGTGCCAATTGCCTGCAGGCTTAGGCATCTTAATACCAGATCAGAGCAACTGCCTTCAACTTTTATTTATCTTATACACATTGTAGTAGCAGGAATGACTGCCCTTAGCATCATGTCAATAGGATACTAAAGGATGAGCCAATTTAAAACTGGAGCAACTGGTACAACGACAGTGAAGGCAAGAAGGGGAAAAATGGGTTGGCAAAGGTATTGTAAATGAAAATAAAAGATAAGCAAGAGAGGAAAAAATAACACAAAATATGAAAACCAAGACACAAATCAAGCTTTTATTATCAGCTAACTCCACAGTCTTGTGCATGAAAAAAAAGGAAAATATTATCCAGATATTTACTGCAGCCTCTGCCTAGCCTGTATTCTCCTTTTGTGATCAGAAACCCTCCTGACATTGAAAGGGAAATTCAGAATGGCTTACAATAATATGTAAATCTACCATTGAGATGCATGAGAAGGAAGCTTTTGTAATTTACTCAACTACTGTCTTTAAGTTTCACTCAAGTATAGTGAAACTTCTGCTTTCCGTAAGATGTGTAAATATACCTCAATGCTTATTTTCCTAATATATTGTTTTTACACATTATTGTTTCTTTCCCACCAGAGGCTAAACAGTTGTATTGAAAGTGGTTGCACCTGCTTAATAAATCTAAACAGCATTTGATTGAGGTGTTACTTTTGTATTATGTTGTTACATGTTCTTCAAAACACTTTTTAATAACTATTTTGAAACCCTGCACACCAGAAGAAACTACCAGAACATTATTTTCACAGAATCACAGAATCACAGAATGTTCAAGGTTGGAAGGGACCTCTAGAGATCACCTAGTCCAACCTTCCTGCTCAAGCAGGGACACCTAGAGCATGTGGCACAGGGTGGTATCCTATTTTCCCTTATCTGACCATTTCTTCAGCAGGCTACAATTGATGGCAAGATTGCAAGGCTGCAAAATTTCCTCAGAACACAGACAGAAAGTCTCCTTGTTTTTACCTGACCTCCGCATGCAGTTTTTACCAGCAGCTACAACAGTGTAATCTCATGTGTACTTTGCCTTGTACAGTCAGCTTTGAAATTTGTGTTATCCAATCCAAAAACATGCTTCTCAATCATATTTCTCACAGGAAAAAGAAAGTTTAGTGATCTCAAGTTAACCCTCAAGCCCAAGCTATTACATCTTCTTTTGAAAACAGGCCTGCCAGTCACTATCAACTAATAATGGCATATCAGGACATCAGATCAGTACCGAGTTAGACAACCTGGACACCCGTGTCCTTCTACAGAATCTAAAGGCCATTCTTAACCCAGGATTCACATTCACACAGTTTTCACGCAGTTCATAAAAGCTACTAAGAAACATCACAGTTTGAAAAGAAGTTGTTGTTCTGCAATCATACTACAATTTGTAGGAGAAGCAGTAGAGAGATTAAAATTCTATTAATATCATTTGGCTATATTGATAAAATATATTTACCCACATTTCGTTTGTAAGTCTTAGATACTGAAAAATCTGATCTTACCGAACCATATCTGTATTTCTGCAGGCATTTAAGTGCTGCATAGATAAATCTACTAGTTGCACAGATGGTGTTAAAGATTGTGTTAAATTCACCAATCTTGCCCCATTTTTCTTTATGGTTATCTGTGTTACTGTTGCACTTTTGAGGTGAACATATGGATTTGGAAGTGTTAAGTTATCTACTTCCCAACAAAGTTACCATACACCTTCCGCGAGGACTTTGGAAACTCAGTGGCCCTGCCCCTGCCACAAACTGTGTTGAGGATGCTTTTACCCTCACCATCTTTTTAGGCCTACTTCATATCACTACAAACTGTAGTTCTAAGTAATTTTTTTAAAATTGCTTCTCTGAGCCGAACTCCTGTTTCAACTAATCACACCAGGACACTAACCCCTCAACAGAGATAACAAAAGGTTAATTTAGCATAAAATTGCTAAGTAGCTAGGCAAAGTCTCAACTTCTAGTAAGAAGAAAAACTGTAATGCACTTAGGAAAGCAAAAATCGAAATCAATAGTGTCTTCTGATGGGAGCTGTCACGGGCAGCGCCCAGCAAGAGCTCATCCATCGGGAGGTTTGTGGGGCTGCTCACACAGGGAGCAGCACAAGGGGGCTGCGCTGCCAGGGGCCTCAGCCAGGAGCACAGTAACCCCCTTTCCACTCCAAAGGCTGCCATAAAAGTCCAGAACGGAAAAATACCATAATTGGAACAAAACCTCGATGCCCACCTGCTGCTCTTTAAATAGCCCTGGCCACAATGTGCGTGGCTTGGAAGGTCATCCCTCCTTCCGTTACTCGCCGTGCTTTCCATGCTCGCCTTGGCGGTGGGAGCAGCCTGGATGTGCAGGAAGGCAGTCGCGACCGTGCCGCGATGCAAAAGCTGCATGGGAAATGAGGCAACCCAAGTTCACAGGAGAGGAACCTGTGAGAGGAAGGATGCGGGGAATGAACAGAAGCTGGCAATAAATACAGGGCTCAATAGAAATACTACACCTGCATTCAAAGCTGGCCCAGAAAAAACACGCCTACATCAGAAGGTCAACAGGCAGAAGCAAGGCGGACTTGGAGGCTAGGGGTGAGGACCTCTTGTTGCATCAGTGGGTTGTAACATCAGCCCAGCTCCACAGGACTCCTGCTCCATGTCAGGACTGGGCTACCGGGCAGTCTGGTCTGGGAAACACCAACAGGCCACGCATGGGGGACATCAATTTGCAACGCGGCGCATGGGAAGTTATTTTTGCAGCAGTGGAACTCAAAAGTTCATGAATTTTCTCAGTGCTGACAATGATGATAATGCTGGAAAATGTCCTTTTTTTTTAATCACAGTTAACAGTAACAGTGTCTCTGTAACAAGCACAGTCAGAAGAGATGCAAATAACTGACATGGCTGTTCGAGG